GCATCATGCCACATACCTGTATTCTCAAAACTCGATCGAAGTGAAAAGCATGGACAAGATTTAAAGTGAATCCAAAGTGGTCAGGTGGTGAATGGTAGACAGAGAGAATCAACACGTAACAGGTTTTGCTTTAGGCGGAACATGACTATAACCTTGACAGGACTAGCAGTGGATTGCAATACTCGAGCATGGGACAGCGATTCATGCCCCACTTGTACACACACACACACACACACACACGCACACGCCAAGAGAGAGAGAGAGAGAGAGAGAGAGAGAGAGAGAGAAATTCCGGCTATTTTGATAGACAGCATATCGACAAATTGCGTTCTGCTTCATACCTTCGAAATTTATGTCATCATATTGGCAAATGAGATGGAAAATCGTGAAACTATTTTAGAGATAGAACCAAGTATTTTAAATGCGATGGAAATGTTTGTGATAAGCAACAAAGATCACTGGACAGTTGTTGCTTCGTCTTGTGATTGGGACTCATCAGCAGCGCGTACATTTCCACCGTATTCGAAATGCATTCAAATAGTGGGGGATTAAAGATCTCCCAAGGAGTGAAACCCACACCCAACATCATCAACAGTACCTGATGCCTGTGAAAAACCGAATGGGCTAATCCAAACATTCACCATCTAAATAGAACCAAGTACTCTAATATATGGAACAATTTGACCGGGTGTTTCTTGGAATACGATGTCTAATGAGTTTGGACACTAGGCTGAACGACAGGAAACAGCTAGTCTACCTAATATTTCTGTGTTTCTTCAAACATCTTCTGTACGGCACCTGTTGGTTCCCATGCGATTTTCTTTAACTTGGCTCGGCAACTGCAAATAAGGCGGCGCGATGCAGCAGACGACAGCTGGGCACGACGCGTCTCAAACAGCGAAGCCCACTCATACTAATTCGATGTGATAGCGGGTTTTCCACCGAAACATTTCCTAACAAACGACGGCTTACGTCAAGGCGAGCTACGCACTTGCTTCATCCTATCTGGGCCAAACAATGATTCTAAAAAAAAATCTCTAGTTGGTGGATGTCTACTGCATGCAAGTTCCAGGTCCCATGATCATAAAACAGAACTGGTCGCACCGTGGCACAATACACGTAATCTTCTAACTTCAAAAATAAACGTTACGTTGATTCCATAGATGTTTCATCCATACTTATGCTACTCCCATCCGCGTGGTTACCTCTTTTAGTGAGCTTCCATGATTTATCAAACAAAAACCTAGGTATGATAGGAAATCAACTTTAGGCTACTCCTGACCACCTAGTTTTAGTGCAGAAGTGGCCGATACCTAGTGTTACAGCATTAATTCGCAAACACGTATTGAAAGAAGCAACAGAACTTGTTAGCCTTTCAGGTATGTTTCGCCCGTCCTCCGTACGTTTGAACAGACAGACGACGGCATCAGTTTTGCTTTAGCTGTCAGGTGCCAGTATTCGAGAAGCCATTCAAGACGTACTCCAATATTTTTTTCTATAGCACTCTTGATGAACACTACTGCTGCAGACGAACAATTAACTTGGTTTATTGCAGATCCTACACAAGAAAAATCATATGAACACAGTGACTTTGTTCAGTTAACAAACTGTTGGAGCATCCATTTGAGATGAAGAGAGTTTGACGGTCGACTGAGTAAACAATTCATTCTATATACAGCACACCGTGATTGTTGTTTGATTATATGAATGACGTAACGCCGGGAACAAAAACATTTGATCGGTACGGCTGTAAACAGGTCGGAATGAGGCCTGTGCACGGATGTTTATATCGCTTAAAGGTATCAGACGCTGATTATTGGGTCTAAGATATTGAAACCGAACTTATTCATAAGATGATTTACACATTCGTTGTGAGATCTATTCATGAAGACTGGAACGATCGACGATGAAATACTCTCCTGAGATCATATATTTTTATGACATTTGTGTGATGAACAGCAGAAGGGCTGGACCTCACAGTGACATCATCATACAGCGAGATACAGTGAAGCGAGCTTCACTGATCGCTGCCAAGCTCACAATGTACACAAATCAAATGATAAAGCATAAGGTTGAGATGGATTGGGCCTACTTGGAGGGAGGCAAAGAAAAAGAACCTCTATGTTTAACACACAGAGTACACAATCTGTGTGCATACATACCTTTTCAAGCATTCTGACCTGATAAGAAATGACAAGGACGCCAATGTTGTTGGTTAGTTGCCATATCTTCCAGTATTTCCAACCAACCAGTTGCGGAGTCTTTCGGACCCCAATCGAGGAGACGGGAGATACCGATTCTACCTAATCGCTCTGTGCATTTCTCCATTCCTCGCTTCCACGTCATCTGTTAACCTCCACGTGGTTTCTTCCAGCCTGGGTAGGCAACTGCGAATAAGGCGCGGTGCGGCAGACGATGTGTAATACGTGTCCTAACCAGCGAAGCCGACTAATCTGAATTCGATGGGGCAACGAATTCTCCATCGAATCATCACCAAATACGCGACGACTTACTTCAGAGTTGCTTACTCGCTCGCTCCATCTAACCCGCGCCAAACTACGGAAACATCTGCAGTCGAATACTTCTAGACAACCAAAATCTTCCACGGGAAAATTTGGGGTCTCGCAACTATACAGCAGAACTGACCGCACACTGGCGCAGTATACTCAACCTTTCAGTTTCAACGAAACATCACGCCTGCACCAAAGGTGTTTCAGTCCTGCGAAGCTTCTCGAGCCTTGGAAATGCGGGCGGTTGCTTCATTGACTATGCTACCTCATAGTGACAAAGCCCTGTTGTTCAGTGATGGGAACGGGTAACCTCCTAAGCCCTAGNGCTAGGTTAAGAGTGGTGTTGGACCGCTGTCTACCACCAAGGTTGGGTGGCGGCGGATGGGGCTCGAACCTCGGACCATTGGGGACCAAAGCACGCGGATAATAGTGATTAAACAACTACGCGGTAAGGCCCCCTTTAAAAGAGACGATTCTGTCAATAGGTGCAAACTCTTTCTCGCATTTGGGTTTTGCATAACTTGCCCAGTCTCTATTAATTTAGAATGTCACATATTTTAGCAAAACACGCGCTCCTCTACACATGGTGATTAGAGTGATAGACATAAAAATAATAAACA